ACATGCAACTGTAGACATGTACAAATGTATCTGAATGCATTTTCAGGCATTTTTTTAAACCGATTTATGCCGTCCTGGCCCAACTATTTTTGGCCAGGGACGCGACATTGCCGTCGGGCCATATTATGGGTTCTTATATTATAATGATCATCATGAAATAGTAAAAACAACACAAGTTACAGCAGGCCAAGTTCTATTATGAGCTATTTTCTTATAAGTTTAAAAAAAAAACATAAACCTAAAATTTAACTTTGTACCTCTTCTTCGACTTAACATGTTTAACTCTAAATGTTCTACTAACTCATCTAACTGAAATGTTCTAATTTCTAAATTATTTAAACTACTTCAACTACACTTGACATCTATGAGCCGAGCCGTGTAGATCTACCAAATATGTCTACTTGCAATGTCGAAAGTTGGGTTAAATGTAAATTAATAGCTTGTGAGCTAGCTAGTAGCTAAAATTGCATTATGCCGATAACAAACAGTGACATATTTACTGTGCCTGCAGCTGGACAACCACAGAAACAATAGGCTATCAGCTGGAAATGTGAGCCCAATCTCATTAAAGTTTGTATCTACAAATGTCATTTCTCGTGCATGTCATGTATACGCCAAAATAGTTTTTGCGTGTAAATGGTACGTTTTTTTCAACGCATTCTCACTCCAAGGCGTCACCTTTGACCATGCTTCACAGCCCATTCTCACCCCCAAGGCTGTGCTTCAATATTTGATGCTAGGCGGCCCTTAGCTTCAGTTACATGACGCGTTCCTACGGCGTCATCCAACTGACAGGTTAATAAGGCATGTTAATGCAAGGTGTAAATACGTCGTGATCGGATTGTGATCGGATCTGCCTGACCATCTGGAGGTAGTCTGGCTCTCATTGTGTTCTGATCTTTACTATGTGTAAACGCAATCTGGTTGTTGAAACCATTTTACTCCTCCCAAAAATGCTAAAAAATGAACGAGTGAGAGGATGTTATATAGGCTAGGCTATATGACATGTTATAGTCAGAAATGACGGCGCTATTGCGACAAGCATCACCGCAGCTGAGCGTCTTCAAGTAAAGAAACGAAATGATCTTACCAGAGCTATTGCCACTCTCTCTTATTGATGTATGTCTTTGATTTTGAAATTAGCTGATGATCATAAAATGCAGCTCACATCTGTAATAAAATGCAGCTCATATCCGACAAAATTACGCTAGGATTGTGTAAATAAAGTAGCCTATCAGTCTAGCATCGCCATGTCAGTGTATTGATTCATTGTCTTTTCATAGTTTGCAAGAGACATTTAATAAACTGAGCGTATTTGATAAACAATGCATTCTCACCCCAAGGCGTCACCTTTGACCATGCTTCAATATTTGACGTTTTAGGCGGCCTTTAGCGTCACTTACATGACGCGATCCTACGGCGTCATCAAACTGACGCTAAAGGGCGCCTAAAGCGTCAGATATTGAAGCATGTCCAAATGTCAGTTAGGTGACGCCTTGGGAGTGAGAATGGGCTGTGATAAACTGAGCGTAGCCTATTCATCTGTCAATATGAAACGCGATTTGGTCATTCTAATTAATGATCGGAAGAACGCGTATCGACCACCGTAATGTACAGTATGAACGGATGTCAATTTAAACTCGATTTTGGGTCAAATGTGGATTATATCATGACCATGGCAAGAATATGGTTACATTTAAAGATGTTGTGCCAAGCATGACAACGCTACAATCAGCTACTTTTGAAATTACATGTTTTTTCACTTTCTGAAAAGTAACCGTTTTGGACATAGGCTACGTGAGTTTCATCGGGCAGCGACGATAGAGAAAAGTTTCAATTGTTGTCGCCTTTGTTGTCGTAGAATTTGATTATAGAAAAACTCACATTAGTAACTTTGATTTTCATGTGCCTCAAACAAATGGAATAATATTCCCATATATGTCTGCTACAAATTAAATTATTTCAGAAATAATCAAAATACAACCCCAAACCCAGGACAGTTTAGACATTTTGCAAAATGAAAAAGTACAAATAAGATTTCCAATATTTTCACTGACCAACTCAATTGTATTTTGAAAATATTAGCATTTTTATGTATTGATGGCTGCAACACACTCCCAAAAAGTAGTGACAGATGTGTACCATGTGTCATATCACCTTTCCTTTTAATTGCACTTTTTAATCGTTTGGGAATTGAGGATTAATTGTTGCAAGTGGAATGTTTGCCCAATCTTTCCTAATACAACAAAACAGTCAATTTTTGTCTGATTCTCATTTTCACGACTGGTCACACATTTCAATAGGAGACAGATTGAAAGTTCAATTGAAAGTAAAAGTGATACATAAAGCCTTTATGGCTATTGAGGACTTGGAATGCAGTACAGCATGGTTCGACAGATGATGCTTGCTTAAAAATACAACAATAGGTATTTGCACAAAACCCCGGTATAAGTACAGGTCCCCCAGCCTATTACAGTGAAGTACTATTGTGATTTGCACATGTTTTTCATATTAGAATAGGCTATCTCTGTAATTTCAACCTCACAGTATTCTGGATTCTCTCGCTCAGTTGAGAATGTTGAGTCGACCATGAACATTTACACATCTGAGTGGAATGAACTCATCCCGGCCGCGTTTTTGTAACCGATAAAGTTAAGTAGGCCTAAACCCTGCTTTACCCATTTACAGCCCATTCTTGGTCAAAGCATTTAAACAATGCTAAAGGGCGCCTACAACGTCAAATATTGCGAATATTGAAGCATGGTCAAAGGTGACGCCTTGGGGTGATAATGCAATTGCCATTTAAAATAGAAAAAAAAACGTAATAATTCATAATCATCAATCGATTAATTGGTTGCATATTGAGTGGGCCACGATTATCATGTAGCTTTTACCCTTGGGGATACAGGATCGACATGATCAAATACAGGTTAATGGATAAAAACAAGACTTGACTCATTCAGTTCTGTGCCGTTTATTGAGAAATGTTATTCAGACATCATGTTGGTTAGGGGTGCCGCACAGTCTTGTCCTTGGATGCCCACTGGAGGTTTAGCGGTACTTCTCAGCAAGAGCCAGGGCCAGGTTCTGAAAAAACTTGTCAAGTGACATGTGAACATCTGGGGAGAAATCTCCAGGGAAGAGCATGGCGATGACCACTATGAGGTTGTGTGCCAAGATCTAGAAAAGGAATAAAGAGAAACATGTTACCATAACTAGGCTATTACTACACGTCAATGTTGAGTAGACTTGTGCTATTGTTTTGGTGTAGATTACCTTGAAGTTGGCCGGGTCGATACGCAGCTTGAAAGCATGAAGTTCGCTCAGGGCAGCCAAACCTCCCACAAGGTCGTCTATTTTTGTAACGGCTTCGCCGACTGCACCCATGATAACCTTGCCATGCTTCCTCACTGGAGCAGAGCCGGGGCTCAGGTCAGCCCAGTGAGCGAAGTAGGTCTTGGTCTGAGGGTAGACGGTCAGCATTCTGAAGAAGAACATTATAACAATAATCATTTAGATAATCTAAACATTAGGCTATACTTGAATGTGTGGAGATTAGATTAAAAACATCAACGTTTCATGTTGTTTAGCAAGGTTATTTAACAAGATCCTATAAAACTACGTTAGTAATTTTAACTTTAAATAGAAAGACAATATGTCATTATTACCTGCCGAGAGCTTCAGCGCCGATCTCATCGGCCTTGGGGCTGATCTTGCCCCAGAGGCCCTTCACCGTAGTCTTGTCCTTATCAGAGAGACTCATCTTTTTTTCTCAAGTTATGTCGTCTTCAGAAAAAACGGTGCTGGCGAAAATGGTATTTTGATCCACTTTTTATATAAAACTAAAGACGGGTACACCCATGTAATCGATCCAAACCACACCTCTTCAACGCTTTTCTGCTGATCTCTAACCTGTGGTGTCCAATCAAAAACATGCCAATTTTGTGCTTCTTGTTTAATAAAGATAACGATTTTCTTTCTTCTTGGTGCACTTAAAGTTCTATACGTATTTTTACAACGATGTGGGTAAATTAAATGACAATTCAATGATAAATATGAAATTGTTTTTAAATTATTTTTCAATCGATCATTATTTTTCATTTTTAAACTTATGAATCATAATACGTTATTTAAAAGAACTGAACCCCAATTTGTGGATTTTTCTTCTAACGTTGAGAAATGGTTTCTCAAATTCTAATTCATTCCAAACCAAGTTCATTTCAAAATCACCATCAACTAAACTACATTAATCTTTTTAGACATTGGAAATGTGCGGTTCCCCACATTCAAAAACAAATAAGCCTTTTTTAAGATTTACAAATTTCAATTGTAAAATTTTAATCATCTAATTTGATTGAATAATAGCCTACTCACATATCATTCATATTATGGATTAAGAATTTGAAAAGAGAAAACTTGAGCTGAAGCTTAATAAAACATTTTATTAAATATGGATTTAGTTTATGTAGATTTCGTATTAATTACAAAAAACTAACGTTATTTATTTGTTATTTACGAATACGAATGTTTGTCCCATTCCCTTGTTCCATTAAGATTTAGCCATATGTTTTAATGAGTTCGATTTTTACTCATTTAAAATTCTTAAACCATAATATGAATAATATGTAAGTATTATTCGATTCAATTTTATGAACTGTTAGCTACTATAAAATTGAAATTCCTATACTTAAAAAAAATGCATATTCAACTACATTTTCTGTTTGTTTTGAAAACAATTTATTTATTTTCAACCCTATGAAAGTATAGCAATTTTGGGGAAAGTAAAGCATGATCATATGGGCACGACGAAATTTTGTTATGCATATATTTGATTAAAAAACGCTTGTTCATGGTTACTTACGAACTTTTTGGACGCGGTCCGATCTGTAAGGTCCAGACACAAATGTGTCACCTGCTGAGAGAGATGATCCAATAAGACTTTGCATATTTTAATGGGCGGAGATATCAGACATCAATAAATAGCACTTCGGTTTCTGAATTTCTACTAGTGATTCCTATTGGACTCAAACAAGCACCTATAAGGACATCCTAAAGCGTAAACATGGTTGAGTGGACAGACGCGGAGCGATCTGCCATCATTGGCCTGTGGGGAAAACTCAACATCGATGAAATCGGACCTCAGGCCTTATCCAGGTAAAATAACACCAGATTCTTAATAGGCGCATTCTATCAGGACTGCCTTTGGTGATGTCAGTTTGTTTAATGCTTCTGTTCTTTTAAGGTGTCTGATCGTGTATCCCTGGACTCAGAGATATTTCTCAACTTTTGGCAACCTGTCAAGCCCCGCTGCAATCATGGGTAACGCCAAGGTGGCAGCTCATGGGAGGACTGTGATGGGAGGTTTGGAGAGAGCCATCAAGAACATGGACAACATCAAGGCCACCTATGCCCCGCTCAGTGTGATGCACTCTGAGAAACTGCATGTGGATCCAGACAACTTCAAGGTGGGTTTGCGCACGACATACAAAACTGTTGCGCGCATATTATGTTGAATATGCCTATTCAATACCGAAAAAAAACAGTCACTTAATAGATCTCTTGCTCAACAGCTTCTCGCTGATTGTATCACCGTGTGCGCTGCCATGAAGTTCGGCCCCTCTGGTTTCACTGCTGACATCCAGGAGGCTTGGCAGAAGTTTCTGAGCGTGGCCGTGTCCGCTCTGGGCAGACAGTACCACTAGAGTCTCATCACCAATGAACACCAGCTGTAGGCTACTGCAGAAGATCGCACCCCGCAGAGTTGTTCACACAAAGATCTAACTCTTATACAATAAGATCAATAAAATAATGCTAAAAGCAATTTAATGTTGTTTGCTCCCATTTATTTTACAAAACACACTGACCATATGACCAGAATTATAAACTCTTCAAAAACAATCTTTATTGCAAATTAAGAAAAGATTCCTGTCCTTCAACAGCATTATATTGGGATTTTAACCATTTCTTAGTGATTTTTTTCGACAAGAAATGAGTCAGAAACTTCTTACAATAAATAAGCCTTTCAAAGACAGTTGCGATAGATTTGCAGACTGTGGGTGTCAACCACTTGAATTCATTGATAAAAGAAATTAAATTTATCGCATCCTCCATAAGCTGACACTCTTATCTATTTTTATTAATATTTATTTGTCTGTTAGATTCTCTTTTTGGAATTTATTTTAATAAGAGAAAACAGCGACTTAGCAACATATCCTTAAACAACATGTTTGCAGGGAACGTGAGAACCTTATTATTATTATTATTATTATTATTATTATTATTATTATCATCATCATGAAATAGTAAAAACAACTAGGCTATACAAGTTCCAGTAGGCCAAGTTCTATTATGAGCTATTTTGTCATAAGTTGAAAAAAAAATATATAATTACAATATGCCAAATAACAAATGTAACCTAGCTGATATCTTCGACTTAACATGTTTAACTCTAAAAGTCCAACTGAAATGTGGGCATCTCCACTCTGTCGAATTTCTAAATTCTTTAAACTACTTTAACTATATCGGACATCTGCTAAAATGAGCCGAAGGCAAGATCTATTGATCTATACCAAATAGGCCTATATTGCAATGTAGAAAGTTAGGTTACATGTAAGTTAATAGCCTGTAAGTTATAAAAGTTCGCATTAGCCTGCTTATTTTAGACCCTAAACCGATAGCAAACTATGACATTGATTGTAATTTGCTTTCCCAGTTTGACAACACAGCTTGACAACCAAACAACAAACAGCAGTTGGAATAACCTAGTAACTGTCAAAATAACTGTCACTGTCATTAAAAAACACTTCTGAAATAGAAAGCTATATGCCTTGTAGCTTATTTAAAAAGAAAGCACACGGGATTCACGAGGGCTCTGTTTTTTGTTTAATTGATTACAAAGCCAATTTAAATTGCCCTATCAAAATATAATATAGCATAATATAATACAATATAATAATATAGCCTTATATATACAGCTATATATATATATATATATATATATATATATATATATATATATATATATTTCCTGAAATAATATGGTTATTATTTTGTTGAGGCTGAGCTGGATTTTCCATATATGTTCATCTAAACGCACCAGCGTTTACTATGCTGTCCACCGTGGACCAGCACTAGTAGAATAGCTAGCCTTCCGTTGAAGCTGCCATTTCCCATTTGATCTTAATCAAATGGGAAATGGCAGCTTCAACGGAAGGCTATCTATTCTAGTGCTGGTCCACGGAGCTGTGATGCGTTTAGATGATGGGTGATGGTACTTTTTACATGGTACTTTTTAGACCTGGACATTTTCAGAAAATGAAACATTTTTAATTAAAATATTACTGGCATAATTTGTTTCCCCAGTATGCCTAGTTACGTGCCCTGAAGTTGGCAGTGCTGATTTTTATGAAATAATATGTTTTTTTTGTTGTTTTTTCAGACATCGCAAAATAAATTGTCATTTCCACAACCGAACAAAAACATGTGTTTTCAACCAAATAGGCTATGTTAAAATATTTGTAGTTATAAATATATTGGGTTACACATCACACTTGCATGTTTCCAAATTGTAAATTAATTTATTTCTCTGAAATGCAACGGTTAAGATTTTACAACGTTAACACCAAAAAAAACAAAAAAAACAACAAAAAAAAAACGCTGAACACTAAGCCACTGAAACTTTTCATTCATATTTCTGAATTTTATTATATTTTCAAATCTGATATTTTTCAACTCATATGCATACTGTCGTTAACTGCTAAATAATCAACATCACCACCATCATTACCTTTTTTTATGTTTTACCAAAAAAATATTTGTGGTTGTGAAAATGACAAGGGAAAGGCAGGTTATGGTGAAAATAACATTTCAGATATAGAACCTGTGGTAGAATCATAATTGCGTTATGGAAATGCAAAAGTGAGTCATGACCTCAATGTGTAGGACAAAATTAATCTCAAATTCAATTTTGAAGTTTATTCTTATTTTAATTTCAAACAGGGATAGTGTATTGATGAACAACTGGCCTAACAGCACTTAATAAAAAAGCACTTAATAGCTCATTCCATGTGTGACAAATTATTTGAAACAAAAACAATATCATAAACACAATCATCCTTGCGTTTTCATAAAAAATCCAAATGAAAATTTCTGTGAAAATGTGACATGTTTCACCACTCCCTGAATCAGAGCAGTGTATGGGCCAAGGTTCACTCATAGATGAACAGGTGAATGTTCAAAATGTTTAAAATAAATGCCAAATTGAAAATAAATACAAGAAACCATATATATTAGATTTGATTGATTTGGGCTATAATTCATTCTTTCTATTTGAATTTAAAATCACCCATTTTGTATCCAATTCACTCGCAGTCAATTTCGGTGAGTATTTATAAATTATATGTAGGCCTATCTGAATTTATGTCAAAACCAAGACTTTTCAACCATCACAATGAAATTTATATGTATTCGTGTACAAATGAAATAACATATAAACAACTTTTCCTATTCTATTGCGTGTCGCGTGAAGGCGTCGGTTCTATTTCCAGCATGCATGCACGCGCTTTCCGCGCGCGCGCGCGTGTGTGTGTGTGTGTGTGTGTGTGGGGGGGGGGGGGTGCGAGGATCGTCACTGAAGAAGGCCTATCTATATCTTCTTCATCGTCACTGAAGAAGGACTATCTATATCTTTCAAAACATATCAAATATTGTTTTACTTTGTCACTGAAGAAGGCCTATCAACGCATTCTCACCCCAAAGGCGTCACCTTATATCTTTCAAAAAATATCAAATATTGTTTTACTTCAGCCCATTCTCACTCCCAAGGCGTCACCTAACTGACGCCTTGGGAAGCATTTGGACATGCTTCAATATCTGACGCTTTAGGCGCCCTTTAGCGTCAGTTAGATGACGCCCTAGGATCGCGTGTACCCTACCCCCACCCCACACCTAAACCTAACCGCGTCCTCTAACAGACGCTTTCCTTTAGCGTCAGTTAGATGACGCCGTAGGATCGCGTCATGTATGTGACGCTAAAGGGCGCCTAAAACGTCAAATATTGAAGCATGGTCAAAGGTGACGCCTTGGGGTGAGAATGCGTTGTTTACTTTGTAACGATGATTAAATCTGGAAATAAAGCGAAATAACTGAGAAAGAAATATTCTTCAGATGCCATGTCTGTCATTTCAAAACATCTAATTTAATTTCAAACAGTTTAAGTAAAATAAATTGTTAATCCGTCATGCAATCTAAATGCTTCTCAGGTCGAGAGCTGTCGTTCCAATTAAAAGTGTGTGTGTGCCCCATTATGCGGCACGTTTTCTTAAAAAATGCGATGGAATATGCGGGATATTTATGCAATTTTATGCGATGAAATTGAAAAAAAATTGAAATAAAAATTGATTCCCCAACACCCTGTTCTCACTAAGCTACTACCTTAATGTAAAGAGTCATAGCCTACTTCCTATGATAAGCAAACATAGGCTACTACATCACAGAAAGTGCTGGAATAGCCTATATCATCTTGTTTTATTTCAGACATTAAAAGTTGCGATAGTATTTTTTAGCGGCCTCTATCAGTGATGTTTCAGATAAATTGCAACCAATTTTTTCATTTAAAATAGGGATATTTCATTTAAAACAGGAATACTGGCCATTGAAATGAGGAGCGATCTCACGACCAAGTCGTACGAATTCGACGAATGATTAAAAAGGAGATGGTCCTCACTGCGGAACATGAAATCCATGGGGAGGAGTCGGATCCAGATCCAACTCCTCCCACCTTACATACACCTAAACCTAACCAACTCCGCCCCCTGATCCCTAAACCCACCCCTAATCCCTAAACCCAACCCTAATCTTACCCATCTCCACCCCTTGGATCGTGATCCGACTCCTCCCCGTGGATCTTATGTTCTGCATTAGCCGCGTTTCCACTGCCGGGCTAGGGCTGGGCCAGAGCTAACAGCGAGCCGGGCCGAGCTAGTGGCCTCGGGCCTCAAGCACCGGGCTTGCGTTTCCACTGCCGGGCCAGTAGCCCCACAGCGCTGCCCCAGACCCCACCCCTAACACGCCTTTCAGGATCAAACGTCATAAAACCCAACCCATTTCAGCGGGTATTATGAATTAATTTATTTTTTAAATTAGGAAGATAGCATGTATATTAACTCAACTGCCGTAGTGGCTGCAATAGTGTCCCGAGACCAGTACAGGCGATTCTCCATTTCAAGCAGCGATTTTTTGCGCGATATAACAAGTAGGGCTGCGGGCACGTTTTCAAGTTATTCATTAATCGTACGTTAACCGAGGCCCATCGGTTAATACTCGGTGCATAGTGTGCGCGCCGCAACCTCGAGATACAGATTTTTTAACACCTTTAATAACTGATTGGACCCCATTTGAAACGAAATTAATTTATAGAAATAAAACGCAGCAAGTACGGAGCAGTTAAAGCCGCATTTCCATCACCCTTCAAACTGAAATTGCCAATTGAAAATAAGCAAAACGTCCATTTCACAAAAACTCCGTGTCTGCAAATAATAATAATAATAATAACCATCATCATCATTATTGTAACATTTTATTAGGCTGCATGTAGAAGACGCCTTTATCCAAAAAAGGAACAGAGCACAAATAAACACAATATTTTTGACAAATATCAGCGCATATCCAGTGTGTGTGGAGCACGCACTGATGGCTGCGAGACGCCCATGTGAACAGTTTCATTGCATTTCTTTCAGTGGAAACAACTTAAAATACTCTTTAATTTCTGGTCATACAGAAAATAATAATACATTATTCGCAAATAAATTTATTTATAACAAG